TTTGGTATATAATGTAACATCATCATAATAAAAGGCTAATATGAAGATGGTCATCACACCATCATGCTATCACGCTATAACACCAATTAGCAGGGACCTGAGGCTGCGTGTTACTAGGCCGGGGTTGGGGACATGAGGCCTCGCCCCCGCTGCCTCGGCGCTGTAGCTGGGAGACCTCAGGCCAAGCTTCCTGAGGCAGCACCCCACACCTGGGTGCTGGGGCCGGGGGGACCTGAGGCCATGCCCCCCTGAGGCCACGCCCCTCCACCCCAGTGCCAGGGCCAGGGGGGCTGTGCCCCACCTGAGGCCGCACCTCCCCGACCCTGGCACCAGGACATGAGGCTGCATTCCCTGCCGGGCGGGGCTTGACAGTGGTGGGGCTGAACAGACACTTCTATTATAGAGAAAGGGAAAATAGCAATATTAAAATATTTCCTCTAATCCCCTTTTAATGTGCATGAATTTCATGCACTGGGACACTAGTAATATATATAAAAGATGTCTATACATACAAATGGTATTATAGCAACAACTATTGGCACAGTTACTAATCTAACTTCCTTATGTAACTCCCACAACTCATAGAACTGTCCCTGGAGGTGAAGGAGCAAGGAGACAAGAATGTCACCCTGAGTGTTCATCAGGTGAAGATGCTGGTGAACTGGGATGTGGTGCAGAACTCAGGTGGCTCAGGTAATGACTGATATGGAGAGAAAGTCAATGAGGCTTCACAGTGGAACAAGACACCCACGGATGTGACAAACAGAATTAAATATTAAAGGGAAGTATGTGCCGTAGTGGGTCAAAAGAGAGAAGGAGGGGGGCTTTTGGGTCACCCCAAGATGTCAATCTTGTCCTTTTCTTGTAGGCCCTGCTGTGGTGGGCCTTGTCTCCTCTCCAGGGATGGGCAAGTTGCTGGTTGAGGCCCCCTTGGTCCTGGAAACTGAGGAGCAGTCAGTTCTGCATGAGACACACAAGGGCCTGCTGCAGGAAGTCTCCCCCGTCCTGCTCTCAGATGTCATATCTGCCTTTGTGAGCAACAAGGACACTCAGAACCTCAGCTCTCCAGTCACCTTTGTCTTCAAGCATGTGAGTGCTGATGAAACGAGGTTGTGGGTGTGGAAGAGGCCTGAGTCCTGGACACAGTCTTGGGGTTCAGGGGCTCTCCCATGGGTGAATGACCTCCCCCGGAAAGCCCATCACAAGCAGGATTTAGATCAGCATTTCTGAGCACCTAATCACCAGCTCACACTTTGCCATGTTCCTACAGCGAGGCCAAAGTGGAAGGTGTTCTGTGTCTTCTGGGAGCCTGGCCAGAATGGAAGTGGTCATTGGTCCACCAAAGGCTGCTGGAGGGTGGGTACTATAGACACCAGCACCACCTGCCAGTGCAGCCACCTCAGCAGCTTTGCCGTCCTCATGGCCCACTATGATGTGCAGGTGAGAGCCTTGAGAAGGGACTTTGTTCAATGCTTACTGCTATATAATAAACTCCCATGCATGCTGCACCTTAAAAACATAATTTATTATTCTGCAATTTATGTGGGTCAACAAATAAATATGGTGCACCTGGGTTGTCCAGTCAGGGTCTTACACAAGCCTCTCATCTGAGGATTTCTGTCCTCTTCTGAGCTCCCTGGTTGCTGGCAGAATTCACTTCCCTATGTTTATAGGACTGAGGTTTTACACTCTTGTTAGCTGGCAGCAGGGGTCACATTCAGCTACTAGGGCCTCCCTGCATTCCTTCTTATGTGGCCCTCTCTCAGGCCCTCTCACAATGTGTCTATGCTCTTATCTGGAGACTAGCAGCAGAAGCTCCCTCACATCGAGATATTCTCCAGCCCTGGCGAGAGAGAATCATGGATCAGCTGTCTCCTGTGTGCCCCCGACTAGGAATCAAGCCTTTCAACCCAGGCATGTGTCCTGACTGGGAATCCAACCCTGACCTCCTGGTTCATAGGTCGATGCTCAACCACGGAGGCACTCTGGCCCGATTTTGCAGTTGCTTTCTAATTTTAAGGCACTGTGGTCGGAGAATATGCTTGGTATAATTCCATCTTCTTAAATTTCTTAATGCTAATTTTGTGACCCAACATATGGTCTGTCCTTGAGAATGTTCCATGTGCACTATAGAAAAATGTATAATCTGATGTCCTGGGATGAAAGGTTCTTTAAATGTCAACTATGTCCATTTGGTTTAGTGTTTCATTTAAGGCTGATATTTCTTTATTGATCTGGTGTTTGGTTGATCTGTCTAGAGCTGTCATTGGAGTATTAAAGTCATCAACTATGATTGTGTTGATCTGTTTCTCCCTTTAATTCTGTGATTAGTTGTTATTATTCTGTGATTATTTCGGTGCTCTTTGATTGGGTGCATATATATTAAGAAGTGTTATGTTTTCTTGATGTAGTGTACCCTTGATCATTTTAAAGTGGCTATCTTTGTATCTTGTTATCTTTGTTATTTTAAAATCTATTTTGTCAGACATAAGTATGGCTACATCTGCTTTTCTTTGGATATGCTTGGAGAATCATTTCCCACCCATTTTCTTTGAATCTACCTTTGTCTTTGCAGGTTAGATGTGTCTCTTGCAGCATTTTTGGTTGACTTTTGTTTTTTGATCCACTCTGCCACTCTGTGCCTCTCTATAGGTGAATTCAGACTATTTACATTTAGGGTAATTATGTATAAGGATTTTCTATAGCCATTTTGTCTTTTATTTTCTGGTGGCTCTGTGCCTCCATTGCGTCTCTGTCTGTTGTTTTTGTTTGGTGATATTCCATACTTCTTCCCTCTGTTCCCTCTTTTTTTAAGCTATGTGTCCCGGTTTGAGATTTTTGTGTGTGGTTACCATTAGGTTTATAAAAAATAAATTTGCTTTTATACAGTAGCCTTTTTTCTTTTGAGTGTGTCTCATCTTCATTCTCCTTTGCCAGTTCAGTCATTTTCCCCTCCCCTTTATGGTTTTGTTGTCACAAATTATCCCTGTTTAAGCTGTAAGTTTTTGGTGATCACACTCATAGAGTTGTGACGTTTGATCTTTGTTTCAGGTAGAATAACCTTCCTGAGTAGTTCCTGCAATGGAGGTTTTCTGGTGAAAAAAAATAATAAAACCCTTATCTTCTGTATGTCTGGGAACATCTTATTTCTCATCATATTGAAAGGATAATTTTGCTGGATATATTATTCGTGGCTGGTAATTTCTCTCTTTCAGATGTTTGAGTATTTGGTTCCACTCTCTTCTGGCTTTGTAGAATTTCTGTTGAGAAGTCAGATGAAATTCTGATGGGTTTTCCATTGTAGGTCACTGGCTGCTTTGAGATTTTTTTC